ATTTATTTATTTTTTTTGTCCTAAAGTTAGCTCATTTTCCAGTTAAGATTACTTAACACTGTGTAATAAATTTTATATGAAAGAGAAATATTCTTTCTCTCTTATGTCTTCACCTTATGCCTGAAAAAAAGTGAAATATTATCAAAATGTTTATCTTTCTACTAGTGCTTTTCACAGCTGGAGTTACTTTCACTTTTTAATTTTATTAATAAGTTAATTTTATTATTTTTAGGGGAGAGAGCTGCTGTATAGCTCAGTGGTTTAGGCATCTGGCTATGGAGCCAGAGGTTGGGAACTCGATTCCCCACTTTGGCTCCCTGACAGGAGCTGGACTCAATTATCTATAGGGTCCCTTCCAGCTCTGCAGTTCCAAGATGATAATGATATATTTATACAGATGAACACACCAAATACAATCTTCTCTCCCCCCATCTACATTTCAGTATGATAGCATTGTGTCAGGTGATTTCACTCTACATGCATATCAGGTCATGTATAGTATAATTTTATTTTCACACATTTTCTATGCTATTAGTATGCTAGAACTACAATTCAATTGTTCAGGGGTGTTCTTTTTTTAGATTGTAGTGGATGTTGTAATTCACTGGTCCCCAACCTTTTCCGAACCGCAGACTGCTTTAGCGGGCCGGGTGGCGGCGTCCGTGCATGGGTGGGGCATCCGTGCATGCATGTGGGGTGCCCTTGCATGCATCCGTGCATGCATGAGCAAGACATGTGTGCGTCTATGCATATATGGGGGGGCATCAATGTGTGGGGGCATGCATGCGGCTGCATGCATCCGTGCATGCATGAGCAAGACGTGTGTGCGTCTATGCATATATGGGGGGCGTCCATGTGGGGGGGCATGCATGCAGCAGGTGGGAGATCTGTGCGGCCCGGTCCTGCCAAGTCCACAGTTCAGTACCAGGCTGCAGCCCGGGGGTTGGGGACTCCGGTTGTAATGTACTTTTGAGTTGATATTAAACATAATGACCAGGATCCCATTACATATTTATGCTGGCATAACTCCATCAGTGTAAATTTCAGCACAGCATCGCCACAAGTTAAGAATTCAACATAATCATTTGCCATAACACCATGAGAGTTGAGACTGCTGTTACCTACACCAACTTGTTAACTTACAGAAATTTGCCACTGGAATTGACCCTGGTAGAATTTATGTGGATGGCTGTAATTAACAGGATCTTGGTGAATAGTTGTGCAATAGTTGAGGTGATCATAGTCATTCAAATCTCCAGGTTTCTGTTCATTTTTCATGATGGAATGCAGTTCCAGCAAGGTGGTGATGCATTTCTGAGAACACATTAATTTGTCTTATTTTGAAAAATACCTGTAATTCTAAAGCCAATAGAACTGATTTTAAACAAATGCAGATATAAATTGCGGGATAGCACAGTAGTGCCACATTGCAACCATTTTGTGCTCTGCTCTAGTAGCATTGTGTCAGGCTTTAAACACCTTTCAGGAAGTATTTAAAACTGGACTTCTGAATTTGGGAATAGGTTTCTGGCACTGACATACATCAATTTGTTGTAGTTTTGGAAGTGGTAGCCATGTTAGTTTGTGCAAGCATATCAGCCAAAATTCTTCCCCACCCCTTTTGAATACCCAACCTTCAACACCCACACCCCTTCTCTTTCCCCCCTCATCCTTTCTCGGGCCTTCTGTCTGTTTTCTGTCTCCCTGGAGGAATGTTTACAATAGAGCCATACATTATTGCATGTACATGTACCGCACACTTAAGACTCCTACAGCCAATGAATATTTAGAATTTTCTGTTTGTGAAACTGGTATTTCATCCAACATTTCATTCTGTTTCCACATGTCTGACAAAGTGGACATGTCCACAAAAGCTCACATTCAAATATAATAGTCTTTTAAGATGCCACATGTTTTTGTCTTCTTACTTTTTGGTCTTTTGTTTTGTTTCATATTTATTTATTTATTTATTTATTTATTGGACTTATATACCGCCCCATAGTGCTACAAGCACTCTCCGGGCGGTTTACAATTTAATTATACAGGCTACACATTGCCCCCCCAGCAAGCTGGGTACTCATTTTACCGACCTCGGAAGGATGGAAGGCTGAGTCAACCTTGAGCCGGCTACCTGGGATTTGAACCCCAGGTCGTGAGCACAGTTTTAGCTGCAGTACAGCGTTTTAACCACTGCGCCACGAGGCTCACTAAAATCCAAAATCACTTTGGATTTTGCCCAATTTCTTATAGTTCATTTACTGAAAAATAGCGGCTGGCTCTTGATGTTTCCTTTTTTTATGCAATTCAGCTGTGATCGATGGCTAATAAATAATTTGGCAAGGGCTTCCTGTGAAACACTTCCAAAGAAATGTGCTCAGAAATGTTACAAGGTGAAGGAGACCTTTTCCTTCTAAAATCCTCTTCATTTACATAGCACAGATCTTTCAGGAATATGCTTTATAACCATTACACAGGAACTAGTGTCCACATATGCGTAGGCATTTATGCTAGCAGCTGAAACTTCACATTTTTCAAAATGTTTATGCTTTTAGAAATGCCATGTGTATGTACATCAAAGCTACAGCAATTACTAAAAATCATTTGCTGTAGCACAGATCTTTCAGGAATATGCTTTATAACCATTACACAGGAACCAGTGTCCACATATGCATAGGCATTTATGCTAGCATAATGTTTTCAAAATGTTTATGCTTTTAGAAATGCCATGTGTATGTACATCAAAGCTATAGCAATTACTGAAAATCATTTGCTATCTTTCTTTTAGTACTAAGGCTGTAAACTCCACTGTCTCAGACTTTTTTCTCTGCTTTTTATCAGAGGTTGAATGAACAAAAATCTCATACTGAGAATATCCCAGAACTAATAAACTTTAACTTTCATTAGTGCTTGTATGGGAATGAATTTTATGAGAATATGTGCTTTGCCAAGTACTGTCTATCAAGTTTTTGTTTTGATCAAACTCATAATTAGTATGGATTCCTTTTTGAAGCATACGA